TTCTTCTATTGTTCCCCATAACATCAAGCTATGAGATAAGCTGGGGCTGAAAATAGAGTAGAACCCCACTTCTAGTCCAACCTTCTAACCATTACACCACACGGGCTCTCATGTTATGTTATGACTTTCTACAACATGTGAATGTTGTATACAACACGTGAATACAACAACTGTGGTATGAGGAAGTAACCTTTTTCTGTCCTTTCATTCATTTGTTCTTATATGAGGAGTGACAATTTTCACTTTCCCTATACTGTGATTAATCTCCATGTACAATAGAGGAAAAGAAAAGTTTTCAAGTAGTGTATTTCCTACTCAAGCATGTTTTCTTTCCCTATAGAAAATGTGCTCTAGTTATTCATTATGTTCTTTTTCCTTGCATCTTTTCCACTCATATGATACATTTGTTTTTCAGAAGGAAAAAGTTGTAAATATGGTAGCATCAGCATAGAAATATGATACTGATCATTTATGTTAAAAACCTTTCTTAACAATTATATTAAATTTTCCTGACGTTGAATTCTTAACACTTTAAGCTTTCCATCATGACTTCTACATCCTTTGTAAATCTCAGTTGCTATTTTATTGTCTATCAACTTCCTTTGGGAGATATTATTTTCAAAGTTCTTCACTATCTCATTTGCTATTCATTCCACTTGGAGTTGGGTACATCAAAAGAAATATAAAAAATAGAATGCAGTAGTGATGGGCCACTAAGAAGTAAGAATGGTAAAACAAAAAGAAATGGGATTAAGAATATAACTTCAGCTGAATCACCCAGTTCATCTAGTGGCTAAGAGAGATCTGTGAAATCCATGGTGATGCAGGACTTCTTTTAATTCTTTCTCAATCCTTCTTTGTGAGTGTTTGATTTCCCTATGTTTGTTTATTTATAACTAACTCTATGTTGCCCAATCACTAGATCCTAGAAGAGTTTTGTTAATTAAATTGTAATTTTTCTATTCCCTTTTTAAAAAGCTGGAATTCCTTTAAATAATCTATTGCACATACTGTTTTTGGACTTGCTGTTTTATTACAAAGTGCATTGTTTTTTTTAACAAATCAAAACTTTCACATTGAACTACCATTACAACTCTTGCCTGGTCCAAGTAATTGCTTAATTTTTAATTTAGCTTGTTCAGAACTTCATTGACATAGCTATTCAAATAACCTTTCTGAAAGAAAGTGTCCATGCATCATAGCTCCCTGGTAGACCACCTTCCTTCAAACAGGGTTAAAGCGACAAAATTAAAAGACCACACAGGGATTACATGGAAACAACTTTTCAAGAGAAAAGCTTTTAACATTTTTAGACTCCAGCTAAGTCATAGCATCTATTGAACCGAACTTCAAAGTGTTTTCTTCCCTTTTTCTTTAGAAATCAGATGCTTTTGCCTGAGCTAGTAATTAAAACTACAACATAACAATAAAAACAGAAATTGTTAATAACACTTCTTCTGCAGCTGACACTAAATATCTTTAAGCAATTTTGCTTCTAGCATCTGCAAAAAAAAACCTGTTACTACTTGAAAATTTGGAAGACTCCAAAAGCTGCCAGTACATTTGTATTTCCGTTATCTGTCATCTGTATTGCATCAATATCAATAGCTTATATACAACATACAACATATAGTATATTAAAAATGTTGAAACTAGCTGAAAGCTCTATTAGTTAACATTTTCAATACTATCAGCCTTAGTTCTATTCAATTCAATTTTTGAATATTGTCATCAAGAGAACAAAAAAAATGCATACCAAGAAACTGGATACATACCCTGTAGATATTTTGAATTCATCCAGGAAGACAATGCTTCTATTTAACTTTCCATGTCCATTGGAATTCTTAATGAGTATGTTTTACCATTGTGTTCTATGAAACATTGTTTATTCTGTTTGCATTTTTTACATTTTACAAGCAATCTTCCTTCATCTAAATGTCATTTTTTTTCTGTCCGTATTTTAAAAATACGCTTCAAAAGCCACTATTTGAAATGTGTACTAAGCTACAATTTTCTCCAATATAATTATTCTGATGCTATTCAGTGCTATGCTAATTACAATTGATATTCAGTAAGCAAAGATTAGAAAATTTTGTTGAAGATTGTCATAGGCATATAAACACAAATATATAAATTTATATTAGCAACAGTAATAGTATTTTATTATGCTTAGACTGACTAGAATTCAGCAAATTAATAACAGATGAAACAGAGTAAAATAGTATTGTTTTTAGCTAACCCATTAATACAATCCATATCTGCATGGTTTTACAATATAGCAAATTTTGTCCACATTCATGAAAACTAAACTATATTTGTTCTGATAGTAACAGCTGCACATAGGAAAAATTGCCTGGGTACTTGGTTAAATAAGAGTGATGAGGTAAACCTCCATCCTTATAAAAATGCAGTATATCAAGATATGGACTATGAATTCAATACACCTTCTCCTCAAGGGTCTTACCACACATGGAATTTATTCCCCTTCCTCCTTAAGAATTGCCTTAAGGAGAACATTAAAATATGCTAAGGTTAGCACTCTCTGGAGTTATATAATGCAGGTATCTCCCTGGCCTACAAAAAGAAGAAATGTATAGCAGTTTTCCATATATCCTGTAGATTTTAATATTCTGGATATTAATAATATTATTTTCTCCAAAATTTGGGAGAAACGAAATCATATTGTACTTGTGGGGGGAGGGGGGAAATTCCTTAGGAGCTGGAGTTCAGCAAAAGCAGAAAGGTCAGAGAAGTTCCTTCCCATCCATTGTCAGAAAGAAAAGCAAGATACGTATGTCTCTTTATATGATGCATGTATGTATCTGTTGGGGATTTCCTTTCTATTTTTCCATCATGTTTATAATAAACATTGATCACATATTATGCTATGATAATACTAGTGATTAAGTACACAGCATATACCAGTATACAGTGACTTATATGAAAATGAAATAGGCATGAAATTAAAGGGCATGATGCTCATGCATATAACATAATTTTGACCTTATTTAGTTCTCTTGCTCCAAATAGGATTCCTTTTGCTCTTTCTGATTTTAACAAAGCTTCATGTTTCATTATCTGCTTTAATTTGAACCATTGCTAATGTGGATAAGATACGTTTAATACAGAGAGCAACCCAAATCTATTTTTCACATCATAGTTAAGAGAGAATATTAGTTTTATTTATTAATATAATTTACATATCACTTCACTGTGATACATCTTTAATTAAAGCAGGTCAAATTGATTTGTATCAGATATGTACTTACTTATTTATTTATATATTAAATGTCTATGCTGCCCATCTCACTGATACAGGAACTCTGAGCTGTATGATATAAGGGGAAGGAAACAATAATACAAATATTTGTATTCAGCTATTAAGCAATCCGTAGCATCTTGTTTTTAAACTGTTGTGCATTTCTGTTAGCTTTAGTTAAATTCAGCTTGAGTTTCCCCTCCCCCCTTTTCTCTCCTTCTCTCTCATGGAGTCTGATGTGTTTTTTTGCGTAAGCTGTCATTGTAGAAAGGTGGCATGTCAATTAAATTATAATGTCACAGGGGATCTTGAAGTCTTAAAATTAGATAATGCTTAGGTGTCCTCAATTTTGATTCTCAAGTATTGATTTAAAGGCATTTATGGGGCATACAACTTGCACTATTTTATTGTGTCCTTTGAGCCATTTGATTGGGAATTTCATTATGGGTATTGGTATCTCACTTTAAACTTCTGATTTTTTGAACTTTTGATATTTCCATTTATAGAACAGGAGTTTTGCTCACTGTGACAAGAAGTAATTCAAGAAAAAGAGGAATAGGTTTTAATGTTGGCATCTGTGCACAGCCACTGTTGGCAAACATCCACCTAGATTGGTGGCCAGGAACAATGCAGTTGGAGACTGAAAGTAACATAGGTGGGTCACAAGGGAGGGAGCTAATCAGTTGTGCAGGTGGTTCAGGTATCTGCTTTTCACACAGATAATTAATGTGTACAAGTAGCTGCTAATTGCACATTTCAGGAATGATTTATGAGGGAGCAGAGGGGAAAGAAGAACATAATCTAATTTCATTCGGAACCTCTGCCATTGATACAATGGTATCAGCACAGCTGTGAGTTGGGACATGATTAATGAACAGGGAGTAAACACACCAGTATTATAAGGAGTGTTGTTTTCAATGGCATGCATGCCAAAACTGAAAGTGGCTTAGACAGCAAAGGGCCAATTATGTTACACGTTCATTTGCATGTCAGATTCACCACCAGTTGTTAGGTATGGAATAATGGGGAGGGAGGGGATTTATTGTCCATCAGGATATTTCTTGGATTGAAATATCCACTTGAATGCAAGCTTATGCATCAATTTTCTTAGTGGACAAAATATTCTATGTATAAATATTAAAAATGGCTTACAACATATAATTCTGCTGGTTCTATTTTGGTGCCTTCCTGAGATTGCTACAGTCTCATATGAGTGTAACGTTTTGTTCTATTAACCTGGAGAAAACTGGTTAACTGTCTCAATAGAAATATTTCCTGGGGGTGGGGTTGTGAACAAAAATTTCAATTTTCACATCTTCTTCCTCCTAACCTTTACTTTTATTACTAAATAATAAAATGACTGGGAGATTGTTTATCAGAAAGTGCAATTTTTCTGACATACTTTACTTTTGATATACCTTGCTTTTAAAAATCTGATCTAATCTTTTTTATCACTGAAGTCATGCATTCTTAAAAACATTTAACAGGGTAATTTTTGATGCTGAGGTTGTTGTTTTTTTCTCAGCATGTTACTTTACTTTAAAATTTACTTTAAAGTAAATTCTTTAAACTTTAAAGAATTTCCAGCAAACTTCATTATTTTTTTCTATGTTTTGCTTTTAGCAAAATCTCAAAGCCTAATTACAACATAGCAATTCAAAATGTTGCCAACCATTTTTATTTTTAAGCAGAACAGAACTTGTGTTTATTTTAATATTGTCTTCTGTTTTTCTTCCATTAGCTTTTGGAATTTGACAAAGAGCTGTCAGTCTTTAAAGACAAATTATATGAACTGGACATTTCATTTCCTCCCAGGTAAGAAAGAGAGACAGAGAGATTGTTTTTTTCTTAACATCCTGATCCTAAATAGCCTTGAAATATAGTAAACTAATTTTTTGGTCATTATAGGATTTTTGTTACTGGGTCTATGAAAGGATGTGATTCCATCTCAAGATTTCAACTTTTTTTAATCAAAACCAAAATGTCCTTTTATATATCTATATTTGGATATGTCATTTGTTATGCAAATATAACTAGGAGTAAGTTCTATGGGATGTTTTGCTGAATATAAATTACAGATGACCACATAACATTCTTATGGTTTTCTTTTCTAGTTTGTTTATTGTATACTTTTGTTGTTTGCTTTTGTCTGCTATTATATTCTTAGAAGAGTATGAGAATAGGATTGTTTGCTTACTTGTTTGCTTCTGTGCCTTCGAGTCAGTGTTGATTCCTGACAGCTGCCTGGATTAGTCCCTCCAGTGTTGTAGAGCACATAAAAATACTGAACATCCATTTCTTGTTATCAAGAAAAAAAAGAAATAATTTCCAAATCACAGGGAACAAGGTTCTTTTCTGTTCTGAGTCAATCGTACTCTGCCCTGAGTATAATCTGTCTAATTCAAGGCACCATACTTTAAGATGAATTCATGCAAACTGTTCAATAGAAGGGACTGGAAAAAAGTCCAAATTACAGTAATGAAATTTTGAATTAGGAAGAAGACAGTGGAAAGAAATGAAAGCATTCTTGAAGTTTCTGGAAAGGATCACATAGAAATTGGTCTCTCTTGTTTCAAAATCAAGACATGAAATAATGCTCTTGAATTAATGGAGAACAAATTCCATTCTAACATTGAGTGAAACTTCTTAACAGCGAAACCAATTATCAAATTAAACTTGTAGGCTCAACTGTAAGTGTTCATGAAGGAGTGGAACAGCCGCTTGATTGAGATGCTTCGATTTGCATTGAGTAAGGAACTAAACTGATACATATGGCTGTTTTCATCTCTAGGAACATATAGGAAAGAATAAAAAGAACCTGTTTTGTATCCAAGGTTGAACAGTACATTCTGAAAACTCATTGTGAATATACAAACAGTTTTTATAGTAATAATATTTCACTTGTAGAGTGATCTGTCCCATCAAGGTCATTAAGTTCTAACATTAAGCTTTTATTTAGCTTTATATTTCAAGTAGTTTATTTTATCTTCCTTTTTCCCTGTCTTTTTCAGTTGTTATTTTTATTGTTTGAAATGTTAATATTGATCGTCTTGAAAATGTAAATTGCTGGGTACTATATGTATAACATTGATCAATAATAAATTATAGTATAAATAGATGATTAGTATAATTATATCCCAAAGTTAAAAGATAATTTCATAGACAAGTTGTAACACTAAGTGTGAATAGCTTAAAATTCATCAGATTAATATCTTAAACATGTTCTATAATACATAATTTGTATTATCAACTTATTAGTTTCCTCTCCTTCCAAATTATACTAATAGTTTTTTCAGGGGAGAGAGAGATTTATAAACTATTTTTAAAAATGATACATGAAAAGGAACAAGGGATAAAAGCATGAAATACAAGTCAATAGACAAGGGATATAAAAATAATATGCAGATTATAGTTTTCCAACGTAACATGATTAATTATGAGTAATTGAATATATTGTATGTTTTAAAAGACTAACGTTTCTATTAAACTCAAGTTAAGCATGAATAACAAAACTCATGATCAGCACAGTGTAAGTCACCAAGTATAAAATATGAAAAATTCAATCCATATTACCAAAAGTGTATTCTGATTTAGATATCAAATAAAATTGATGTATAGAATTTATACGTCAACCTCAGTTTTTGAATGTGGTGAAAATCCAATTTTCAGTTTAAATTGAAGTCTGTTGGATTTACTTTTACAATACAAAGTTATTGCAGACATCGAAAAATATTCCCACAATTCAGTTAGTTGCTTTTCCATTGAGAAAATCAAATGGCCTCAAATTAATAAAATAGTTCTCAAGACTGCTTGAATTCCTTATAACAACTATTCTTTCAGAAATCAATTTATGAAAGCAATGCAAGAATGAATTGGATTTTTCAGACATTTCCATTTATATTTTAAAATGATTCTTTATGCAAAAGTTGTGCATGTGTGTGAGAGATTCTAAAGTGAAACCAGAGGATAATAAAGTAAGTGCTCACAATAATATAGTTATTAACATTCATAAGGAGTGATATTGGATAGTTTATGGTTGCATCTGCTCTGTGCCCGGCACATAGGTGCTAATAATCCCCAGTGTCCATTCTTATATTCACCTGAAAAGATCACCATTGCCTTGTAAAAACTAGTGGTAACAAGAATTTTCCCATCTGATATCTGTGCTTTCTCTGGGAATTTTAATTAAAGGCAAGGTCACATCAGCATCAATTTAGTACTAATCTATATTTGCTATTAATAGGGATCTTCGTTGTAGTATCTGAATTTCATGGAGTGCACAAAGCTTCATTTTTCACATATCCCCACTGCCACCAATCTCAAAGTTTGGACCATTTGGTAGCAGCAGCAGTGGTGGAACAGGTGGCGGAGGCCATGACACTCATTTTCACACTAGGACTGAAAATGGAACACTCTCAGCCTCCACTACATCCTTGCTCACTGCTGTTGCTAAACCACCTGAACTCTGAACAGCCCGGAGCTCAGGACAGTGGTGGGAGGGGGTGTGAAAATGGGAAGCACCACCACTCTGCACTCTGCACTCTGCTCGCTCACTTGCCCGGCTTTCCCTCCAACTGCCTGTGGCAAGTTGTCCTCGCAGTGAATTGGATGTGCTAAGTTTGCCCCATGACGAATTGGTTGTATTGGTGGTGGTGAGTTGGCAGAGATGAGCTGGCGGTGGCAAGTTGGCAGCGGTGAGCTGGCTGCACAAAGTTGTCCTAGAACAGAGAATCAATATACTCAATATAATATAATATATTATATAGTGTACTGATTATACTATATAATCAGCCTCCATTGTTTAAGCGTAATCTGCATATCTTTTTCAAGGTCATCTTTTCTCTCTACATTCCCTGAGTAATGGGAAGATTAGGCAGTCTTTGAAATCTAATTTAAATAGATATCTAAACAAATAAATGAATTTTTAATAGTAGAAACAAAGAATTACAAGGTGATATGACAGGAAAAGAGCATTGCCTTTCTTTGTCTTGACTGTTACTTGATACATTTAGTCTTTTGGCAATAAATAAAAATTATTCTTATATTATCTTGAACTAGTCATTTTATCTTTATAAATATTAGCTGAATACATATACCATAGTATGTTATAATATATACCGTACAATATATGTGGCATGTAACATAGACTCACACTATTATCTGGATTATGAATTACAGAGCCTGGTTTATAAGAAATTAATGGGTGGATAACCTTTCTACTGGTATGATGTTATGCAGAATGATTTGGGTTCTTGTAAATCCAAATGGTATCCAAACACCAGACACAGAATACTTTTTTAAAAAGACAGATAAGGATATAGGAAATTTGCCTTTAAAATGATTTAGCTATGCTTAGTTAAGAAGATTCAGTTATATTTAAATGCATTGTGACAATAATCATTTATATGTTAATATGTTATAATCACTTTTTATTTTGCAAAGTAAGAGGGTTAAAAAAATGGTTAAATATGGATTTCCATAAAAAATGGGTTTGTCTTGCATGTTACACAAAGACATTTTCTGTATGCAAAAATTAGTTTATGATAAATCAAAAGTCCCAAATTGTAAACAAACACTAACACATTGTCTATATTAAAAAATAATACTAACCCAAGGTTTTAAAATTATGATATGTTGAATGTTAAAATGACCTGTTTTTTACAAATTGTATTGGTTATGTTGTACATCATGCTAAACCAAAAATAATCTACATAACACACACACATACACAGTTTAGAATGCAAAATAGTTTCCCAAGATCTTGCTTTCAGTAACTGCAAGATTGCTGTTCTAGCACGATTTATGATTTCCTAACTCACTTATGTATGCGAGAAAGTGAGAGAAGTTTGGGTGACTGGGAGAGACTATCTCCACTAAAATCTCATCCTTTCTGTGAAATTAGAATTTTTTGGTTACTTTCTCAAAACTTCAAATGTTCTTAAGCTCAGGTGCATTATAAGCTGCCCAACATAGCAATGCATCACAATTTAAAGTTAATACATGAGTGATATGAAGTATATATGATATATATCCTATCACTCGTATATATTGGAGAAGGTTGACAAAAATGGGACTGTGAATGAAATAATTCCAGGTTTCTATTGTGATTCATTCAAACAAACCTGTATTGTTTGTTTGTTTGTTTGTTTGTTTGTTTGTTTCCTTCTGGCTTGTTTGAGAATGGCAGTTTAGCTTTTAGGCAGTCTCTTTCTCAAGATGGAGGAAGAAAGAAAGGAAAGTATACTTGAAATAGTTGGAAGTTTTTAATATCATATTCAAAATAATTGAAAATTGTTTCATCTAACATATCTCTCATAAGCATGATGCAGCCAAGTACTTTTTAAGGTCCACGGAATTTAAAATGAAAGATAAATCCTTCAAAATATTCAAATATGCCTGGATTGCTATGTATGTCTTTGCCTGCATTTAAATCAGCATTTCTCAACTCAACAACTTTAAGATCTGTGGACCTACAGCATGTATTGAAGTCAAAGATCTTAACATTGTTGACGGTTAAGAAATATTGATTTAAAATGTTAAAATGTCTGAATCATATATTGCTAACTATGTATTAAATAACCTCAATTACATAGATTATTTCCCAAAAGTAGCTCAGTGAACAAAATAAACAGAGCAAAGTGGAACAGAAGCCCCAGAAATGGATCACTCTTGGGGTTTAGAATGCCTGCCTTCATAAAGTGGTTATATTACCTGAAAATTAATCCTTTGACAAATATAAGGATGCATTTTAAAATTCTGTTGTTTAAATGCTTTGAGTTTGTGGTCATTCTCTACCCAGAAGTTTGTATTATTGT